GTCTGTCAGCTTGTGAATGGATAAACATATTGCAGTAAAGCATTAGAGTGGAACACTGAACGCTACTCAGAATTAAACGCCAAGCCACTCACACGTGCTTACAGTATGGATGAATCTGAAACTATTAAGCTAAGTGAAATTAGCCAGGCACAATAGGGCCTATATGATTTTATTTATAAGACATTTCTAAAAAGGCAAACTGTTCCTGTTGATAGTTAGCTAATTGTTAATAGGAAAGAGGGGCAAAGGAAATGCATCAGTGAGCCGAATAAACTGGGGAGCACGAGCCTGTTTGCTTCACCAGGAGCTGCAGCTTCATACCCCAGGGGACACAGCAGGGCTCCACCAGGGGATTCCCACTCCTCCTTCCCCTCCTGGCACTAGATTGTTGGGGGGAGCAGGGGGAAGGGCTGGACCATAGAGGCCTGTCATTCTAACTAGGGGGTGTAAACCTATCAAAAGCTCCCAAAAGCTTGGGAAGCTGTTGGGTTCTTTTGAAAAAGCATCTGGTCCGTCCCAAACCCAAGCTAACAGTAACTCCACAGGAACAAAGACGTGCTCACTCTCTCTCTGTCTTGCTCGTGACCTGCACTTGCCCCATTGGTTCGCAAGCTCTCTTATTGGTGCCCATGCGATCATGTAGTTCGAGCAGCCAGCGGGACTGCAGCAGATGGCGTGGGCTGCAAAAGCCTAAGCTTTAGTGTGAAGCAGAAGCTCTGGACACTGGCTTTTGCTTTGGCCTTGCTGAGGACTCGACTGGACTTTCTCCATGGGGGGGTGGAGGGAGATGGGAAATTGAGAACCCAGGAGCAGCCTTCACACAAATAAACCATTTGGCCAACCACAATCTCCCATGCATGGTCCATGGCTTGCTGTCCTTGCAATCCTATGGAAGAGCCTGTTTTCCACCAACAACAAAACTATTAAGAAATCAAGACTAGTAGTTGCCAGAGGCTGGGGTAAGAGGAGGGAATTGATTTTAAAAGGCCATGTACAAAGAAGCTTGGAGAGGTGATGCAGATATTGTGTATCTCAATTGTAGTGCTGTTTATGTTGTGTATACTTATCAAAACTCATCAAACTGTCCTTTAAGAATGTAAATTTTAAGTTTTACCTCACTTAAAAATAAATTTAGCAAGACTTCTGAATAAATAATCAATATACCGAGAAAAGTATTTCTCTATATAGCGACACATAGAAAATAAAATAAAAATGCCATTTACAACAGCATCAATAAGAAACAAATTATCTAGGAATATATTTAACTTATGCACCCACCTCTACACAAAAAAAATGAGAAACATTATTGCAAATAAAGTAGATCGAAATAAATGAGAGATATAAAAAGTTCTTTGACTGGAAGACTAAATGTATGAACAAATCAATTCGCCCAACTACAAATTGATCTGTACATTCAAGGTAATCTCAAACAAAATCTCGGCAAGTTTCTTTTTTCAGTGAAATTGAGAAGCCAATTCTGAAAGTTCTGTGGCAATACAGAATGTGAAGAGCCAAGGCATCCTGAAGAAGCAAGTCAGAAGACTCACGCTCCCAGATACTAAAACTTACACTACAGCCACAGCAGTCTAATGGGTCTGATATTGGCCCAAGGATGAACAAAAACACTACCCACATAAGGGTACATGGCTTATGACAAAAGTGGTACTAAAAGACACTGAAAAATAGATAATGCTGGGTTAATTTGATAATTAATCAAGGTGAAACAACAGGCATTCAAAGAAAACAAAGGAACTGCCTTGGGATCGTGACCTTGGGATGGGCAAATAGCTATACAACAGGACACAAAAAAGTGTTAACTACTGAGAAAGATTAGATTTCATTAAGAACACTATGAAAACATACACTGTGAGAGTGAAAAGACAAAACACAGACTCTGAGAAGATATTTGCACTGTATCTATTATAGAAAGGACCTGGATCCAAAATGGGGAAGAATTTCTACAAAACAAGAAATCGAAGCGGGGAAAGGACACATTTCTTCTCAAGACAGGATATAAAAACAGAAGTCTTAGGTTAAAGTGCCTAATTTCATTAGTCATCTCAAAAATGCAAATTCAAACCTCAATACAAGTACACAGCCAAAAAGAATTACAAAAAAAAAAAAAAAAAAGGAAAAAACTAACCGACATAAAGTGAGGAAATACTGGCAGAGATGTAGAGCGCTCTCGCCTGGCTGGTATGAGTGCGGCTGATGCAGCCACCTTCCTTACAGCTGGTCCTACTTGTGTCCTAAGACCCAGCACTTCCACTCATGTTATGAGAAAGAAATGTGTACTGTGGGCACCAAAAACATGGACAAAAATGTGCAAGCAGTATTAAGAGCCCCAAACTGGAAACAGTCCTAATGTTCGCCAGTAGTAACACGGATTTTTAAAAGTATTCACATCGTGGAATACCAAACAATTTAAAAAGGACAAACAATACTATATGGCAATGAAAAAGGGCAAATAGCTGTTACACATTGTGCGTAAGTTTCACAAATTCAGTGTTAAAGAAGCCAGCATAAAAAAGACATGTTGTTTGACTCAATTTATATGAAGTTTAAAACGGTCAATCCTAATCTACAGTAATGGAAGTCGGAACAGGGGTGTCCTTTGTTGGGGGCAGTGTCTGGGAGGGGACGGGGAGGTTTCTGACTGTGGTTATGGCTTACGTCTTGATCAGGGTTATGGCTCAACAGGTATATTCAGTTTATAAACACTAATTGGACAGCAGCTTAGGACATCTGTGTTTTCCTGTATGTATGTTATAGTTCACCCATAAATTCACAGACAAAATGGGAGTGCCAGACACTGGTTAAGAATACAGCATCAGTTCTTTGGGACACAACCATTATATCGGTTTTCACACATGTAGACAGAGAATAGGTAAAAGCTGTACATACATAGAGGGCTTATTCTAAATGTTATAAATACGTATTTTTAAAGAAATGTTCTCAGAACTTAGCTAAATTTTGCCAGTGTGGTAATGACAATGTGTATTTAAGAGTAGAAACCTATCTTGGCTCTTGTAAATAATGCTGCAATGAGTTACTGTTTTGGGTTTCTTTGGATATATAGCCAGAAGTGGAAACGCTAGGCCATAAAGCAGTTCCATTTTAATTTTCTGAGGAGCCCCTATATTGCTTTCCACAGTGGCCGCACCAGTCTGCATTCCCACCGACAGTGCACGAGGGTTCCCATCTCCACGTTCTCGCCAGCGCCTGTTGATTTATTGAGGTTAGTCATCCTGACAGGTGATACTCATTGTTTTAATTGGCATTTCTCTGACGACTGGTGACCTTGAGCACGTTTTCATGTCTACTGGTCATCTGTATACCTTTTTGGAAAAGTGTCCATTCAGGTCCTCTGCCTACTTTTTAATTGGAGAGAGAGAGAGAGAGAGAGAGAGTGTGTGTGTGTTGAGTTGTATGTGTCCATCAACAGACAAGTGGATAAAAGCTGTGGTACATACATACAATGGAATGCTACTTGGCCACAAAAAAGAATGAAATTTTACCCTTTGTGACAGCATGGCCTGAGGGGGGTTATGCTCAGTGAAGTCAGTCAGACAAAGGCAGATACCAAATGATTTCACTTATATGCGGAATCTAAAGAACAAAATAAAGGAGCAAACAAAGTGGAAACAGATTCATAGACACAGAGAACAGAGCAGAGGTTCCCAGGGGGGAGGCGGTGGCAGGGCTGGGTGCGAAGGGGAGGAATGGGGAGTGCAAAGCTATCAGCTCGGCCACAAAATAGTCCTAGGAACGTAAACGTACAGTACAGGAAATACAGTTAGTGAGACTGTAATAGCTATGGTGTCAGGTGTGTGCTTAATTATCGGACAAATCACTTTGTAAAACATACGAGTGTATTACGATGGTGCTGTATACCTGAAACTGATTCAAAATAATATTGAATGCAAATAGTAATTGAAAAATAAAACTAAAAGAAAAAGGTAGAGACCTAAATACATAGTAAATTTCAAATGACTCTTATTTTAATTTGGATAATTTTAATTTTACTCTAACAGAAAGATAGGCCGAGCAGAGGCCTTCTCCTAAAAATAAGATGAGTGCATATGTTTACATGATGACTGAAATTTCCCCAGAAATTGAGGAATTTAAGCCTTCAGTGTATATCTCACTACTATTAGTTGGAATCCTTCCAACTACTAGGGCAAAGGAGTGAAAACATTCGTCATTGCCAAGTTCTCATAGTGTATTTCTTTGGACCACCAGCTAGAAAATTCCATGTTTATTTAGTCAACCAGTCTGTTTTAAAATTCTTCTATGTAAATCACCCATTTGTGTTTAAACATTATTAAAAACTCCTAGAATAATGTTTCTATTAATGCAACAAATTTATAAAGAATGTAAGGTAATTCCTGCAGGACCCTGTAATTATCATAAAATTACCTAACAGAAAAGACCGTGATGGCCTTTCTAGAAACCTCTCTTTGGAGTAGCAATAGAAAATATACACACACATGAAGAGGTGACTCACGTTTACTGAGTGAAGAGTACATAGAAACCTATTTGCAAAAGGAATGACCATGCTTGCAGCAAAACTCCAAAATATCAAACGCTCGATGGCCATGACATCCTGCCGGTCAGGAGCGTAGCTGTGCACAGTGCACTGGACCAGGGCGGTTTCCCAGGCGTGACGCCTACCCTGGCGAGACGCAATGTGCTCGGTCAGTTGGGAAGAACTAGCAAATTTTTTTTTCTGCCTGCCTTTAGAAGTTATCATTTCTCTTTTTTTTTAAATTTGTAAAATGGTTCCAAATTCATTTGCTTGGTATTTATTTAAAATAAATTAATAATGTTAAAACTGTTCATTGTTTTACTGTAAGCATGTCATACATGTTCTCTTGGTTCGAGAATTAAAACAAGATATCCTCTGTAAAGCAAATATATTTATTATGCACTTTCATATACATAGGGATTTTTGCTTAATATAATACAAGGAATAAAATAAAACTTTTACAATGTGAAGTTCAATGTACATTTTAGGCTATTTACATACCCCAAACCAACGGAAAAGTAAAAAGAAAGCATTTGTTGGCATCTACACTTGCTGAGACATGTAAATGGAGGACATGAAGCAAAACAAACATTTGCATAGCCAGACAATATTGAGAAAAGTATGTACTCCTGCTTTTTAAGTAGGAATATTTTTGGTGAAGATTCCAGAGGGGCGGGGCGGGAGTGGGGTGAGGGCCAGCAGACACCGCTGTGCTATGCGGCGCTCACGGAGCTCAGGTCAGACCGGCCTGCATGCGCTCGGGTCTGTGTTCTTCGTCGCTGTGGTCTATATTGCCTCCCTGTTTGTCAGCTCGTGACTTTGAGGGATGGACAGAGGTGGAATTTTACAAAAACATTATAAGCACATGGCATCATAGGTGTATAGTGGCATGAAATGATTTACAAAATCTAACCATTTTAATTTTTAAAATTTTTAAAATAGCTTTTTAGGAGTTATATTTCGGGGACTATCTTTACTCTCCTTAATGGATTAAAAGCTATTTTCAATCATGGTATTAAATCCCCCACAGAAAGAAATCAGCAGTAGGGCATCTTGGCACCCTATCATCCTTAGCCTAACTAAAAGCCATTTTTTGTTCTATTCCAAAACATAATATAAAAACATTCAGAGGAATACTTACTTTTGAAAATCTTATTTTTCCAGCAGGTTCTCTTCCTACCAACTGTTTCAAGTCTTTATAATATGGATATGAAAACATTTAGCTTTTTGAAAAACATAAATCCCTTCTGTAATGAGTCATATCTTTGCCCTTTGGCCACAAGGTGCATTTTTTGTAAAAAAACAATAAAATTAAATAAATACAATTCCAATAATTCAAGGTTAATAGAAAAACTGGCAGCTTTCAGGGTTCTCTAAAAAAAATACACCTAGTAAGAAATTAGAGCTTCATCTTCTACAGTAATGTAAATGTACTGTATTTGAGATATGAGTTAAGATTGGTTCTCATAACAGTATGTGTTCATATTTATTAAAAGAATCATTAACACTTTTAAGGCTACTTTGCAAGAGTCCTATTAAGTGTATTAATAAATGTCCCATAGGGACAAAAATTCAATACTTGAAACATTCACATTCGAGTTCTCCATATTGCCATGTCACCTTAACAGTGACCGAACTTAATAACATTATCTCCTACTCCTGACTATGACTCGATGGCATAAACAAAATGACTTTTTTTTTGCTGACTTTAAACAACAAAAGCAAAACTAAAAGCCTTACACGAAGATCCAAGAAACAGTTATCACAACCAAGTACACGTTTCTATTTCTGTGAACAACACATCACACGTGTATCCTTCATTTAAGATGACATTACTGACCTCTGTTAACTAAGACATTTTCTAAATATTCTTTTCCCCTAGTAGCAGTGGTTTTGTGCTGAATCTCCAAATTCTCTTTCCTCATTCCTCCTTCTTATCAACAGTACATGGAAAGAATAGGATTTCTGGATTTTTTAAGATTTTCAGGGCACATGAAAAGGTCAGGCCCTTGGCTTCTAAATGCATCTAACCTTTCCAGACATGTACACACCCACCTACGCTGGTTCCAGTGGGTTAGGGTCTAATTTAGGAAGCCCAGGCCGTGGGTCACGTGCCCCTCGGAGCCAGTCTGCTTGGTTTTCCTCGGTCACGGACCTCCCCCCTCCACCCTGGCAGTCGTCGAAAGAAGAAAACAGGAAAGAGTATGTGGACAAAGCTTAGGGTTTATCAAATACCAAAAAAACACACATGTGCTATGACTGATTGGTTAGTGGTGTCATCTGTGAAGGACAGTGCATATTACTCTCATCAAGAACGTTCATCCAACTAACCACTGAAATTGATCCAATTGATTTTGAGTGGGGACTTATTTTCCTCATGCAGCAATTTACAAAATAGGCAACTGAGGGCGAAGCCAGCATTAAAACCCACACGGGTAAGTTATAGTGTGTCCGACTTGACGGAAGAGATTAGGGTAGTCAATTATTTGGGGATCAAAAATCTACCCTCGAGAGAGAGAGAGAGACAGGTGGGCCCCGCCTGCACACACGCGCCTGAGGCCTGGCTCTGCTCGGGGAGTCCTCGGCCTCGGGAGCCACCGTCTGTCTGCTGCGGGTGCAATGACAAATGACAGGCGAGTGGGACGCGAACTTGCACCCTGGGAATGAGACAGAACTTTGTTCTGCCTGGTCGTTGTCTTCTTTTTTTTTCCCCCCTTTTTGACACAGTCAGTCAGAGATTAGGAGGATTCTACTGGGAAATCCAAATTTGAACTACTTAGAGCAGCTCCCTAGAAGACTAGAAATGATTTTTAAATCTATGAAGAAACCATTTTCTTCACCTCAATGTGGCATTAAATAGAAACTCATTTTAACCAATGCTGAAGGTGTAGCAAGTATAAATAGTTGCATGATTTATTTTATTGAGTGACATTTTTAAAGATACAAGAACAAGCCATACACTACAGCAATGCAGAGGTGACCAAAACAGCAGGCTTACGTTTCATTTGCCACAAAAAAGAAACAATAAATACAAGGAACACTGCCTTTTCATATATATTTGATCATGGCACATGCACATTTATCAAATTTTAACTTAAAATACTTAAAAGTTTTTTTTAGCTTTTATCAGGGAACTGCAGTATATATCTGCATTTAAAAGAAAGTGCTCATTCTTGTGTAATGAATACAAAGCACACGAAATGAAACTGGTGAAGCACGAGAGGGTCACACTGAGAAGGCGGCCTTACTAGTCAGGCACGTGACAGTCATCGAGGCGCCTGCGCGGCCTGCGGACACCGCGCTCTTCACTGTCGATCCCTCCAGCGGTCAGCAGGCCGTTCATGTTTTCACCCAGGAGCTGAAGAACCACTCCGATCACAATGTCTTCTGTTTCACAGAATAGGGAGCTAATGCAGAAGTTAAAAAAAATACATTAACTTCTACAGTATACTTACTTATAGAACTGCATATAGTTTTAAGACCATCTATATAAATATATACTCACTATGTAAAGCACAAAGTAGACTATTAGAGATTCATTATTTAACTTATAAATCACTTTTAAAGATTCCACAAAATGTTTACCTTAATTCATGTGTTTTGCTGTTTAATATACATAGTTTGACTTTGACTTTACAAAAGATATCATGAGTTGGAGAGTGGAGCACAGAACAACATATTTTTAAAATAAATCACACAGGAGAATGAACTAACTACTTTGTACATAGTATTTTTGCATAGGATTTGGCCACACTGAAGGACGTCTGTTATCAGGAGGTATAGGAAATTATTATGCTAATGTATCACCTAAAATATATCTCCAAAGACAAAAGAAGCATAAGAGCTTTCCGTTTGCCAGAAGGAAAGAGTACAATTTTGTTAGAGGATTAAAATGATTAATCAAAGTGGGATAAACATACTTTTCTAGTAAAAGTTAGGAAAGATTCCTAATGAAATATTTATCACCAATATCAGAAATGTACTTTTAAAAAAGTATAAAGTCCTGTATCTATTTTCCCATTAACTTCCCCTACATAATTAATGAAGCATCCATTAAGGTGCTATTTAATAAATATGACTTTATTTTTGAGGGTTTAACATTTGATTCTTACATCTAAATATAGTGGCCCCTAAAAACACTCTTGCCAATACACCCATTCATCACTGCCCCACGCCTATGCTTGGTGGGTGCAAGGTTTACTTAGAAGAATCTTAAGAATCTCTCGTACAGAAAATTACCTTTTGCTGATTAAATCTTTGACTCCATCTAGGGAGAAAAGTTAGGAAATTAACATGTATTATCTATCTACTCAGTGCTGCATATGCTATTTTATTCAAACCAAGAAGTAGTATTACAGAAAGAGCTCCTCCCTCTGTTATCATCAAAGAACTTTTAAGAGGGAAAATGACTATTGAAGGAATTCTTAATCCGAGATCCATAAATAGTACGTTCATTCAACACATTTTTACTGAGAAACTACCGTAAGTGCAAGCAGTATCCCAAGTACACGGAGTGAACAAAAAAGATAAAAATCCCTATCCTCACAAAGATTCCATTTAAGTTGTAAGGGGACAAATAATAATAATCATAATCATAATAATAGATAAAACATATAAAACATGTGAAATAGTATGTGCTCTGGACAAGGAAAGCAGAAAAAGGGGAAGGGGGCGCTCGGGGTGGGAGTTCAAATTCCCAAGAGGAGGGAATGCACTTCTGTCATTTTACTCTTTATGCTGATGAAGTGTTACCTGTTATAACGGCGTTTCCTTCTTGTAGTTGAAGCCAGGGTCCGAACCATCGATCTGAAGCTTCAGGGCTTGTTTAAGGCTTAATTCCGTCTCTGAGGAAGGGTACCCTTCCAACACTTCCTGATGCCCTCTGTCTTGTATTGTTCGTGGGACTGAAACCCTCCCAAGAAACACCTGGTTGCTCTGGAGATGGTAATTTGGATTGGTCATTATTCCATTTCTCTTCTTCTGTTCCCCACTCTGTTGGTGAATGAGAAATTGCTGCTGAGATCGGCCAATCTCCTGCTGAGCTGATGGTATCATAATTTTGCACTGAGGTTCCGCGGGCGTTTGCTTAGGGGGTGCACTGGGCCCGGATTTGGCTGCAGGCCCTCTTGCATCAAACTGAGTCATTTCATATTCCAAAACCTTTGGCTGTGAAGAATTATTTTGTTTAGCTTTTTTCCCAGCTGACCCAGATTTGCTGGAATTTTCTGATTTCCCCCCTTTATTTGTTTTAGTTGATTTCAAACTGGGCTTTACTTGACTCCACTCAAATTCACTACTCGGCGAATGGTGGCTTTGTCCCAGGGACTGTGTCGTGGAAGACGGGGACACAATTGACTGTCGACTTCTACTGCGGGGCAGTGAGTGCTGCTGAATCTGTTCAGTAAATGACAAATTGTGGAAGCTGTCAATTGGCACAGTCTGAGCTGTTGCTGTAGACGAAGTTGTTCTCAAAGAGGAATTTTTTGAGCTCTTTAAGGAATTATTTGACAATGACGACTTCTGCCGATCAACCGTGGAATCTGGAGATTCTGAAGGAGAACTGAACGCATGCGCTGGCCCATTTGGTAAGCCACGCAGTGGAGGCTGCATGTCCCCTCCACCGGTACTGCCGGAGCTGTTTGATTTAATTGTTAATGACTGCATTTTTGAAGACACTGATTGCAGAGGCTTTTGCTCCATCGTGTGAACAGGAGATGGGGAACAGCCATTCAAACTAGATGCACCATACTTTTCTAATAATTTAATTATCTGAGAGTGTCCGTTTTTGGCCGCAACACGCATAGCAGTGCGTCCGAACTGATCTGCATGGTTGGGGTCAGCACCGTGCTCTAGGAGAACCTGCACGACGTCGATGTGCCCTTCCTGGGCCGCGATGCAGAGTGCGGTCGCACCCTGATTGCAGGTGTGGTCGACCACGGCACCATGCTCAATCAGCAGCTGCACCACCTTCACGTGGCCCTGCCAGGCCGCGGACTGCAGCGCAGATCGCTTTTCATTGTCCGCAGCGTTGACGTCAGCGTGGTAGGTTATCAGCAGCTGCACCATTTCCAGGTGGCCTTGCCAGCAGGAAACGTGAAGTGCCGTCCTTCCTTCAGCATCACTTGTTTCTACATTTGCACCATTTTCTAAAAAATACTCAGCCATTGTTAGTTGGTTTTCTAAGGCCAAAATATAAAGGGTAGGCCTGCCATCAGCATCTTTGTAGTTAACGTCGGCTCCATGGCTAAAAAGCAACTCAACAATGTCCCTGTGTCCTTCTAAGGCAGCAACTCGCAGTGCATTCCTGCCGTCATAACCTCTTTGATCGATACTGGACTTATTTTCTAACAGGATCTGAACACAATCATAATGACCCTCTTGTGAAGCTAATATGAAAGGTATTCGTCCATCATTATCAATCTCATTTGTTCTAGCACCTTGTTCAATAAGCGCTTCACATATTAATCTGTGACCTTCAAAAGCTGCCATGTGCAAAGGTGTCCACCCAGCATCATCTCTGTGGTTCTCATCTAACCCTCTATCCAGCAGAGTACGTACCACCTCAACATTCCCTTGGGCTGAGGCTATGCTGAGGACTGTCCTGCCTTCGCTATCAATGCTGTCCACGGCCGCACCCCAAAACAAAAGTGTGTTCACAACGGAGGCATGGCCCATAGAAGCGGCCGCCAAGAGGGGTGTGCGACCATTGTTGTCTGTGTGGTCCACATCTGCTCCCCCCTCCAGGAGCAAGTCAACCACGTCGACATGCCCTTCATAGGCGGCCACCAGCAGAGGAGTCATGCCGTCTTTATCGCAGTGGTCCACCTCAGCACCTCGGTCGATCAGAAGGCTGACGACCGACGCGTGCCCTTTACTGGCAGGCACACAAAGCGCAGCTACAGAGAGCGCGGTCCTGCCGTCCACGTCCTCGTGGTTCACTTCTGCTCCGTGGTCCAGGAGGTGCTCCACGATCTCTCTGTGCCCCATGTACGCTGCTGCGATCAGAGCGGTCCTGCCCTCGTTATCCGCTTTGTTTACTTCAGCACCATGTTGCAGCAGATTCAGCACGATGTCCTCGTGGCCACCCCACGCTGCTGCTCTCAAAGCTGTCCGGCTGTCAGCGTCTGCACAGTCCACTTTGACGCCGGCGTAAAGCAGCGCAGACACCACCTCGGTGTGACCGCCCCAGGCAGCAGACCTCAGTGCCGTCCAGCCATCCTGATCAGTGTGGTTGATGTTTGCTCCACACCCAATCAGGCAATTAACCACCTTGGTGTGTCCTTGCCTGGCAGCGAGGGTCAGTGGCGTGTGTCCGTGGGCATCTTCGATCTCTAAATCTGCCCCCCTAGAGACAAGTAAATTCACCACATCGAGGTTGCCGCTGTACGCAGCATTAGCTAGTAACGTTCTCCCATTGGAGTCGCACTGGTTCACCGAAGCTCCGTTATCTAACAAGGTCCGAATGGAATCCTCTCGTTCTAAGGCCTGGCGGACTATGCAGGAGGCGCGATCGTCCTCACTGTTCACGTGAGCACCGGCCTTCACCAGCAGCTGTAGCACTTCTTGTTCCTTGGGTATTAATGTCGACAGGGAGTCTCTGACAGGTGTGCCATTCCATATCATCCACAGAGCCAACTCAGCTGTCTCCAGCTGTAAGTTTGAATTAATTAAGTGCAATGCAAATTCCTGTGCTTCCAATGGTGTTAAATTCTTGGCTTGACAGGTATAACTCATGGCCAACATTCTGTGTCCTTCTGCTGCGTTACATAAATACTTCTGAGTGCAGTGTTTCACATCTAGAAGCCACTCTGCAAAACTATAGTGAAACAGTATTTTAGTATTTCCTAGTCCATCAACGAGAAGTTTGGAGAGGACGTCTAACTTGCGTTGAAAGTCTTCCAGGGTTAGTGACATATTTTTGGTCCACACTGCATGATATAATTCCGTTATGGTCAAAGGTCGGCAGGCTGCAAGAATCACATTCAAAATAGGCTGAACTTTTGCAAACTGCTTTCTCACAAAAAGCCTTTGACACAGCCAGAGATACAGACCATTCAGAGTTCCTGGGATGTCACGGATCTCTCGTAACATAATAAAATTTTCTACAACTCCATCTAGAACACGTTCTAGATAGAGAAAGCACCCACTGCTTTTAATGTGCAGTTGATTTAACATCTCTGCGGTTTCTTTTGTGAGGTGTTGTCGCAAAGCTTCTTCTTGATCCAAGCGATGAAGAATGTACTGTTGAACATCCTTAACAATGTATGCCTTCCGAAGGTCATCTAGACTTATTTTTCGAAAACCTAAAGAGACAAAAAGTAGATGTCATCCTTTGAAAATGGTGGCAGAAGGTGTCATATACTCAGAGGATGTCTTCAATATGTAATAAACTAATAAGCAAATAAATCAATACGTTAACTAATATTAATAAATCGATACTGGTTACCATATAAATCAGTTTTATTTTCCGTTTATAAAAACACTGATGGCAGATAAAGGATTTCATTTCCCAGCCTACAAGTGGAACTCACTTCAGTGGCGAGCATTTGACAGTCCCACATATACATCCAAGAAACATGTTAAATTTTCTGAACTCTCAAATGATTAGGAAAAAAAGTTGAAGGAAACATAACAAATAAGATTCGTTTGTTTTTACAGCAGATATTTTTCATATGAAAAATTTACATATTTCCATCTCCATAACCAAATGTATACTACCTTTAATTAGAAGACTGAAATTCATATCCAATTAGAATATCACCTGTCACAGCCTTAGACTAACATTATTTTACATGTTATCAAATTAAAATAATTAAATGTCAGGCTTTCAAAAAAACAGCCTCAACCTTAAGATGCAACTTGGTCAAATTATGCTAAGAAGATTTAAGCATTGTAAAATTAAAGCAACTTTGTAATTCAAACCAACATGAAAACATATTAGTTAAAGCTATTTGAAACTCAATTTTAAGTTCTTTAAAAGGAACTGTAATTTCATTTCCTAAAGGGAGATGGTGTCCTGATTTAGAAGTATGAATTTATTATTAGGCAAGTGTGTTTTCATCTTACAGAAGAAAAAACTACTGAATGAATGAACTCCCTTAAGAGACATAACTCTAGAAACTCAGCAAAGATTAGTAATGGTCAATTAATACTGAGTGAAATACCCTTATGCAACTCAGTAAAACAAATATGTATATACAGAGGGCCCTGCAGAAGTAAGCCCTGCTTGAGTGTGGTTGGCAGGGTAATAATATGGGTGTAATAATTTATACTTTTAATTTGAACATTTCACCTAAAATGTCCTATAGTATGCTTGAGTGTGATATTATTATGTTATAGAATTACATGCTTATGACTTTGTAATAAAAGGGGTGTTATCTGTGCTGGACCCTGTATATCACCTACTGAGTGTCAGGTACTCTGTGAGGAGATGAGACTTTTATTTGGTGACGATACATCAGTATGGAATTTTGAACAAGGGAGTATGCGACCAGATTTGTACTGTGAAATACGGGTCCAACATCACTAAAAACCTGAAGTGAGTCAAACTGTGGACACAGCTTTTTTGAAGGGTCCTTGAGCCGGTCTAGATCAGAATCACTAAGTGCCTGAACAACCACAGCAGCACACAAAAAATAAAATGTGAGTTTGAGGATTATTAGTAAGAGCTAAAGTGCACAGAGCCGAGCGAGAATGGAGAAGGAAAGAGGAGTCAGAGTTAACATTAATTTCTGACTTGATGGAACAGGATGGAAAAAGAGATCACTGAAGGATAAATAATAGGTTTGGAGAGAAAGATGATAAATTCAGTTTTGTGATACTAAGCTTGAAGTACTTACATGAAATAAATAAATTTATTGAAAACAAAATCTACTAGAATGACACAATAAGGAAATAAACTTGCATAGCTCAAAATCTGTACAAAAGTGGAATCTGTAATTTTATATACATACATACAACTGAATATTAATTATATAAATAATAGATTATTTTCAGTAGAATTTCAAGAGATAAATTTTAATTATTAAAAAAGACATTCTTGATCTAAGTAGAGTTTAAAACAATCATAGATATTTATATCAATCTACATTTACCAATGATACAAGGTACAATAACTTGCCTCCAAATCTTATTCTGTGTGTTCATTTGCTCTTGGCTTTATAAAGTCACTAAAACAATTTAAGTTGGAAAACACTTGGAATGTTGTTAATAAAAAAAATTTTTTTAAATAGTAACTATCTGACATATTACAGTGTTTCAAAGTTTCCAAAGTGATCTTGTAGACATTGACTGATTTACACGAAAGATTATAGTACCTATTTTGAATAAAGATCTATAATTTGAACCTACTTAACTAAAGATATCATGACTGAAACTTGAGATAATTAAGACAGAATCAAGGCTAAACCTCCATAGTAACAATTCAGTTCCCAAGAGACAAATGAAAGTGATCAACAATTATAGAGTCTAGTGGTAAAGCGGCACTTCCAGTACTTATCATACCTAACTTCTTTTTATGTCAAGCCTGTGAGGTAAGCTTCCCTACTTTAAAAATAAAGCAGCTAAAGCTCCAAAAGGTCAGTTTAATTGCCCGAAGTAGCAGGGCTGGTAAACCACTGATGGCAGGATTCTGATTGTTTTGACTTTGAAGTTTGCTCTTTTCACGAAGATGGGATGGGGCAGAGAAAGCCAAGAAAGCAAGCGCAAGTGCCTGACAGGGGAGCTGGGCGGGGGATGGGGGGGCGGGGGGGGGGCCCACAGGGTTGACTCTAAAAGAAAGCAGAGAAAATTTCATAAAGTACAGACACAGAATGTTTGCAATTAAAAAAACAAAGCGCTTTCAAATGTAAATATACTTAGTAATATGAATTGAGATAGAATCAGTTATATTGTGTTCATCATTAATGATAGTTATCTGTTCCTTAATACAGAACTACGGGTATCTATTAAACAACAATTTGAACATCTTGAGTTAAAGTTACTAAAAATGACTGTTTTACAGTGCGACTTCTGACCATTTTACATGTAATTCTCTTCTCACGCACACGCACCATTTAATACATTGCTATCAAAACATTTAAAAATATTTTTAGGAGGCTGAAAAAGCCTCAAAGATTTTAGGGGAAGAAAAATATGACTTACGAAAATGTTTGACCACTTTTGTATTCTTACTTAAAACATTTATCAGGACGTGAGACTACTCAATGCAGGTGATAGCAGAGTGATAGCACGCTAGGACCCGTGCCAGGATTTACAAACTGATGCTCGCTGCACTTATTTATTATCCTGAAGCATCTGTGGGGATGAGCCTATACTAAAACCTAAAAGCATAAGAATAGGAAGGTTCAGTGAATTCTGGCATATTGATATACTAGCAAGTTATGTATCCACTAAAATAGATATTAAGAATACAGTGACACCGAGTGACTTACGAATATTCAATTTACAGAGCAGAATTCGAACTGACATAAAGTATGGTCTCAGCCAGGTGGGACAACATACACCAAATCCAGCCCAGAGTGTTCAAGAGTAGTTAATTGTTTACCTCTGAAATGATATGCTATGTATTTGAGTATGTTGTTGTTCAAAACATCTATATATGTAAAGAGCATGTATTACTTCTGAATCAGATAAAATAAATATGTATAAAAATCTTACAAAAATCTGTGAGGTTTAATTTTTTTATACACAAAATATTTTTAAAAGGGCTGCTATTTCTTTTAGTTCCATAACAAGTATCTGTAGCTAGTAACCTATGATAATACCTTCATATGTGGTAAAAATTCTTCTCAGTGCCAAAGGGATTTTTTCATTAAACTAATCTGATGCTGTTAGCAAAAATGCTATTGGTCAGTATTGTATATACATGAGGGAAGACATTCTCTTGACAAAAATGTTAAATGCTCAGGTATGAGTAGATGAAACTGATCTGGACGTAGGAAAAACTTAACGTCATGCCCTTTGGGTGCGAACCTGCCAATTTTAAGTGTGAATGAACAGATCACGACTCTGAGCCCATATATTTCAACTTAAAACATTAGCAAAAAGCAGGAAGAGATGTGCAGGACATATAAAAGAAAAACTGAAAAACCTAATAAAAAGCTGAATAAATGAAAGAATAAGCTATGTTCCTAGTCGGAACTAAAGCATATAGTTTATTATTACTTTTTTTATCCTTACCCAACGGCATTTTTTCATTGCTTTGAGGGAGAGAAAGAAGGAACAAAGGAAGAGAGAGTGAGAGAAAGAGAGAAGCATCGACTGGTTGTGTTCTCATACATACCCCGACCAGGGCTCGAACCTGCAACCTGGGTATGTGCCCTGACTGAGCATGGGACCCACGACCCTTGGGTCCGCAGGGCGACACTCCAACCAACTGAGCCGCACTGGCCAGGGCTACCATACTAGTGCTTTTATGTTTGACTTCATTATTAAGAAAAAGTGCACACATTACTTAGATTTTACCATACTGTAAAATGCAGAGACCTACTTAAACCTGACATGGCCACTTAACCAATAACTTAATTACTTTCTCTCCAATTACACCATAAATCCTGTGAGTGCTCCTTGTTTACATTCCTTGTATTTCATAAAGCACAAAGAATGCTTTACATAATCAAACAGGAATAACTGCAACTTTATTGTGTTAGTAAGAAAAGTAAAACAGTTAAGTCAGGGAAAAAACTGATCATGTACTTTTATACATTATATATATTGTTCTTTCACATATCAGGAAAGGGTTTTAAAAAAGGATGCATTTCAAGAGGTACCCTAAAAGCCTGCTGACTCTGTCTCTTCTCCCACGCCAGGAAAGCCACCTTGCTAACTGCGACAGGCTTTTTCAAAAGCGTATTCTCTACTCTCAAGATGCTCAGTCTAGTCAGAAGAAATACCACAAGCAGACAGTGACCTGACTGCACAATAAATGCATCCCCACAGATACGTAACAGCCACTATGGCGTGAAAGACTCCCAGACTTTGCTAAGGAAGTTAGGAAAAGAATCTTGAAAAAGGATCTGTTAAGAATCCAATAAAGGATCCTAAAACATTCAAAAGCTCATTTTCAGTACAACTTTTAAAAAGCACTGTTGAGAAGAGCTGACAGACGCAACCACCAGGTTTTCCGCTGCGTACTCTCCTCTACGCAAGAACCGCACAGCCCAGTTCGTCAACGAAAGCCATTGGGGATGGCAGAATGGGATCATGCTTACCGGTAAACATCTTAGTGACAGCCTTGCTCTGTTTTCGGGCAGAGCAGAGAAGCAACAGCCACGGTGGGAAGAACTCGTGGTGACCAGCTAAGAGCTCCGCCACAGTCCCAGATAAGCTGGAGGACGTCTGTTCCCCTTCAGTGACGTTACAGCCTTCGTCAACAGAATCCACGAGCAGGTAGAGGCTCTGCGGGGGCGGCTTCATTCCCAGAAGCGGCAGCAGGACGCACCTGCAGGGCACAGCCGGCAAGCAGAGTGAGTGCTGGGGGCCGTGACGGCGGCCTTTGTTACTCAGACGGGAGCGCTACCGGGTACGAGTGAGCTTTAAAAACGAATTCAGGTTTCAGAGTAAAAATACTGTGAAAGTTTCGATTGCTTACTTTAAGGAGAACACTTGTCCCAAACAGTTGGCGCTGCCGACATTTCCTGCAATCAAGGCTTTGAGTGTGTGTGTTCAGTCACTCGGCATCATTAAGGAGAAGAGCAGGAGGAACTTGAGGAAACAATAGTTCAATATTCTCTTTCTAATTTTCTGAATCAGTACAAACCTTGAATTGTTTATAACAAAGCTAGAATGTACTGCAAAGAGGGGAAAACAAATTTGGGGATCACTTTAATAAGAAGAAAAGTAGCAAAAATGCTATAGAAGTTAGAAGTTTTACCATCATTTCTCTTACAGAATGACTGCATTGTATGCTAGCTTGTCACACAAATTTTATTTAGAAAGACTGTACAAAAATAAACTCCAGTCTAGGTCCCAAGAGATGTATTCTCAAATTTTAATGTAAAGAATAAGTTATTGGAAATATATGCAGCGGTATCATTCCACTGCATATATTTCCTACTCATATAATTTACATTAAATTGCAGCCGAATATAACGTTTTCCTACCTAAAACAATGCTCATTCGTTTTCAATAACTGTTTACCTTTCCGCGGGCCACGCGCTGAGACGGGCCGGGCCGACAGACACGGCGCGGCGCGGAGGACCCAGCCCGCCAGGTGCGACCGCCAGGAATGCCCCGATGATCCCCCCGCCCCCAGCTCCCTTCCCCATCTCAGTCCCACAGCAACCGAGACCCACTTGGTCGTTATGTCCTGTCAGCGCTCCCTATAAAAGCCCCTCACACCCCGCCTCGGCCTGTGACAGCATCACCCCGGCCAGCGGGCTGCGGCCTTTCTCACCCCCTGCGCCCCGGGACTAAGCACCGGAAGGCCGCGGCACAGCCAGCAATGCAGATTTTGCCGGGGTGACAAAAATATAGGCGTAATTTTGCTTCATTCACACTGGGCGGCTGTCGTTGTGTCGTGGTTCCTTTTTTTTTTTTTGACAGCCTAAGGGACAAGAGGTCCGTGCCCCTGACTCACTAGGTGCTGCGTGCTGTGAAAATTCTCGCGGCCTGCTGCTCGGACCTCGCTGCCCTAGTCCAAACTCCCCGCCCCTCTGTCGCCTGCGCCCGGGAAACAGCCACGTGCTCCCAGCGCCCCCTCCGGAGCGCCCGCTGCCGCCAGACGCCGTGTCAAAGTGCTCCCTCCCCCCGCCGCCGCGGCGGCCTTCTTCCAGTGGCTTTATTGGATGTCATCATACGAGGCCTTTTCATGGGCAGTCTCCTCTGCCTGGCATGGGCTTCCCTGCCCTCGTCATGTCACTAACTCATTAGGGAGATGCAGATTCGAACCAGAGGAAGGCAGCACTGGACGCCATTGGAGTTGCTGAAGGAAAGGAAAACCCCGAGAACACAAGGGCGGTCCCTGCGGTGGAGCAAGGATACCGCCACTTCCAAATGGGCGGCCGCTTTGGAAGGGTTTGGCAGTTTCTTAAAAGTTAAATGTACACCTAGCCCGTGACCCAGCGACCCTGCTTCCGGCACTTACCTAAGTGAAGCGAAATGGCTACTCAAAAGTCTGCACATGAATGTTTATAGAAGCTTCATTCATGAATCTGCAATGCAACGGCAATCAAAACTACCGATTCCCGTCTACTGGAAAGCAGTATTTTAATCCAAGCTGCTTCGCTTCTAGAAGTTGGTGACAAACCAAAATTCTCAATCACTAAACACTCAAAATCAGATACCAAGATACAGGTCTGAAAGTGACTGAACTTTCTTCGCTATGTTAAAGCAGCTTGGCTTTCTGATGGTAGAGGATTAGTTAGCAGGATGTAATCCATCTGTTTTCTAAATCAAACTTGTGTATAATATATGTTAATTTATTTTCTTTTGGAAACCAAATATTTAAAATATAAAAATGGGAAATAAACATAGCCTCACATTTACTGAGTGCTTACTAAGAATGAAGCACTGAGCTAAGTAATCGCTATGGACTTACCTGTTCATTCCTCACAACAATCCTGTAACGTATTACCATTTCCATTTCGCAGATGAAGAAACAAAGGTATAAAGGGAAGTAGCTTGCAAAGTGAAACAAGTACTAAGTGGCAGAAGTGGGAATAGTATTTGATGTTTCAAAGTTCCTCTTCTTTTTTAATGCTAAACTGCTTCTAAAAATAGTAGAAAGTTATATAAAAGCTTGAGGTCCCATTTAAACAAGAAAGTTCTTAGAACAACCTGACCAAATTAGCAAGTGGGTAATTTTTTAGGATTTAAATTCCTGAAAACATTTTCATGGAAAAAACAAAATCATATATATTAAGATCTTCTAACTGAATATGCTACTCTTCAAATTTTACTTTCCTGAGAGTATTAAACATTTATACCAACAGTCACTTGCCTTGCCCTGGCTGGGGGGCTCAGTTGGTCTGAGCATCGTTCTGTTTCCCAAAGGCTGTGGGTTTGATTCTCAGTCAGGGCACATCGCTAGGCTGTGGGTTCGATGTGGGTCGGGGTGCATACAAGATTCTCTTTCTCTTTCTCCCCTCCCCCTCTTTTTCTCCCTCCCTCCCTCTCTCCCTCTCCCCCTCTCTACCCACCTGTCTCTTTCTCCCTCTCCCCTCCTTTCTCTCTAAAATCAATAAACATATCCTTGGGTGAGGATTAAAAAAAAAAATCACTTGCCTCAATACCGAAATTCCAGAAAATCACTAGATGGGAGGTGTTCCTAATAATTTTGCTACAATTATTACATAATTAATGCCAAGGGTGGTTATTTGCGGCTCCTGCCTTCGCTCTGTCCGGGTCAGCTGCTGACCTCCCGACACACCAGCCCCCTCGTCAGCACACGGAGGCCGCTCCCACCTGTTCCACGTACGCCCTCACCTCATTGTGCCGTGGGAGACACTGTGAAGGTGTGAATGGTTACTGACCAAAAACGTGCCCTCAGAATTAATGCTTTTCAATACAGATATCTGGTTTTTTCTACACTCATTATCTCTTACCTGGATATTTAAGGAACGTTCAGAATTAAATTATATATAACATTACCAGACACCCATGTAGAATTTCTGGAGCCTGAAATCTCACTATTATCTGGTGAAATTTAACATCAAAACAACCACAAAACTAACCTCTGCATGAGTCTGTCTTAGATTCCACATCTAAATGAGATAATACAGTATTTGTCTTTCTCTGTCTGACTTATTTCACTCACCTAATACCCTCTAAGCCCATACACATCACAAATGGCAGGATCACCTTCTTTTTTATGGCTGAATAGTATTCCATTGTATACGTGCACCATAACTTCTTTACCCATTTATCTGTCTATGGACACGTAGGTTATTTCCCTATGTTCTTTTCTTAGAAACAAAATTATCCATCCAATAAATTAAAGCACATGGGACAGAGGATAAAAAAAAATGTAATTACTATCTCCAGTCAGTTAAGAATCAAATAGTATATATTTATTCATTTTTTAAAATCTAGTAAGTATAATTTATAATTAAAAACAGATCAGAAGTTTGGCCAATATGTAGGGTAAAATTTGTCTGAACTTTTGACCAAGATGTTGTAGTAACTTCATGCCTTTGTGAACTGTTTCCTCTTTGTTAAAATACAGCTGGCAAATATGGAATAAGAAAACAAAAAGAAAAATATAACCAGTCAAAAATAAAATAAACATTTCAAAGTATAAGAAACAAAAGAAGAATGCTGTCAGTGAACCTAAAACTCCAGTTTGCCAAAAAAGCACGCAGCCGGGGGGTTAGCTAGTGGCCATAAAAGGGACACGTTCCCCTGCCTCTGACTCAGACTCGCAGTTTGAGACTAAGGGCAGGAGGGGGCTCTGGCTCTCCGGTGCTGAAAGAAAGAAAAAGAGCACCTCTGACCCCCACTGAGGGCTCAGGCCTTCCAGCAGCAGCAGGGAGGACCCAAGGCCCCAACGGAGGCAGGACCCGAACCCAAAGATCATGGCTTAGTGGTTGAATTTACAAAACGGCTAAAACCACCTTGGAGTAGGCGCTACAGGTCTTCATTATCAGCCCTCGCTCCAGACCATGAGGGCGAGCCCGGAACAGGGAGAGCGAAGAGGCAGGCGCGGAGATGGAGCGGCGTCCAGAGAGGGGAGTGAAAAAATGACGGATTCGCATGCTTAGAAGGCAAGCAGCGGACGCCACTGCCAGAGTGTGCACTCACATCCAGGCGACAGTGACTTGTAAAACTGCCAAAGACTTGAAAGGAAATGTACTTGTGATGTTCAGAGGAGTAAAATTCATTAAACAATTATTCAACGAGCAAATAAAACAGCAAAGAACGAGGAAAATCTTCCTCACAGGGACTCCCGCGGACAAGATAAAATGTAGTAGGTGGCAGCAGCCCCAGACTGCCACCGCAACGACTACAAAAGACGGATAAATTACACACTGTAGATTTTTAATGACAGGAGAGGGCTCCCGGAGCAAGAGAACAGGGTGCACTGGCCTCCCGAGGGCGGCGTTCCTCCGCAGCAAGCCCGAAACGCACCTGCCCAATTCTTCGCAGCAGTGGCCGTTGCTGACTGGGGGCCTGCGCTGCTGCTGCGTGTGGACTAAGGAAGAGCCAGGCCTGGCCCGCCCGAGGCCCAGTGCCAGAGAAATAAAACCAGCAAGGTGTCAGAGGTCAGTCATGTTTCTTTGAGAGAGTAGAGTGCAAAAAATATATAGAAGGTGTCCCACACAAAGGTTGGTTTTCCCTAAAGTACGTTTGCTAAATTCTGGGCTGTGCTTTTAAAAAGCTGGGGCACCAGGCCAGGTGAGACTAACGAGCGTGAAGTCTCCTGCAGCCCATGTGCTGGAGACAGCATTCTGCTAAAGGGCACTGGGGGCTTGCTTTAAACACAGGGCCCATCTCCCTCAAGAT